AGGATGCGGAGGCTCAGCAAAGGTGGGGTCCCCCAACCAGAACCCTGGCTTCCAGCTGCCAGGTCCAGTGCCTTTTCCACAGAACCTCTCAATGAATCTGAAGACCCTTTACTAAGGTACCTGAAATGTCCTGACAGCCATTGAGAGCTACTTCTTTTCTCTCTCTCTCTATAACGATGGGGGTACATGCATGCGTGCTAAGTTGGATCAGGTGTGTCTGACACTTTGCAACCCTACGGACTGTAGCCCACCAGGCTCCTCTGTCCGTGGGATTCTCTGGGCAAGAATACTGAAATGGGTTGCCATGCCTTCCTCCAAGGAATCTTCCCTACCCAGGGATCAAACCCATGTCTCTCATGTCTCCTGCATTGGCAGTCAGGTTCTTTGCCACTAGCACTCCTTGGAAGCCCAAGGATAGGGATGTTGAGCTCTCAAATTAGCATCTGAATATTTCCTGCCAAAGAGAAGGGCCTCCCAGCGTGGCTGATGCTCTGGACCTATACCTATGTGCTTTGGATTCACACAGAAGATAAGGTGGGAAGCTGGGCAGAGGAGAGGGGAAGGGTTTCACGCTTGACTTGCTGGAACCCCTTCTACAAGCCAACCTAAGCTGAGGAGAGGGTGGGTAAGGGGTACCTACAGTTTGGGTCCATGTAAATTATGTAAAAGTATAATGGCAAAGGATAATCAATGACATGTCACTTTAGGATAAGATGGCCAGTATATAGTTGCATGCCTCAGCTGCACTTTCTGTACCTGTGACAGCCATTGCTAACTGAACAGGATCTTCCCCACTGAGCCTCAGAATCGTCCTGAACCCAAGGTTCCAGGCAGCCAGTCGGATTTGTTAACTGAAAAGGAATCCAGTGACCATTCCTCTTTTAAGGAGCATCCCTTCAGTACAGTGAGAAGTTACATTTCTTATTGAATTCATGAGTCTTCTTTTAGCATTTCAGTGACACTGAAGTTCTTGGTCAGAGCAGCAATATTTATGTTTTATCAGCTACTTCAATGGTACTGTTCATTTGATACTTTCACTTTGCTGTGTCATCCAGCAGCTCTTAAAACTGAACACCAAAATACTAGTCAACTATGTTCATGGTAACCAACCATCTTTTTTCCCTGCTTGGAGTCCAACTTTACCTTTTTTCCCACCCACTGAGGTACAGAAGGGAGACAGTGGTATGAGAAAGGGGCTTCTCCCTTCCCCCCAGCACACACTGTGGAGACAAGATGCGCCCTCCCCGCACTTCTCCACACTCAGCAGTATCTCTGAGACAGCTGCAGCCTTTTGAGCCCATGTCTGCAGCTGGCTGTGGTGCCTTGGCAGACCCCATGCATCATATGATCCGTGATGCCTGGCAGATGATTTTTGTCCCAAGTGTGTTCAGAGAGCTCTCTGAGACCTGTAAAGAGTTGTGGTCTGAGAACTTCAGGGTAAAGGTGTTACTTTGGTCAGGACTCAGCTTACCCTTTCCTCCTGGAAGTCTTTGAGAGGGAATGGCAAGGGGGAGGATGGCAGGGTGCTGGGAGGCAGTGCAGAGTCAATGGGACAGTCCATCTTACTTTGTCCTAATGCATTTAGTCTTTGTATCATAGGGCCATTCAGTGAAGTGGCCTGAAAATGGTTGATCCTTGCCTGAAAATGATTAATCAAGGGGCCACATGTGAGAAAGTTTCATCAAGGAGCTGAGTGTTGGCAGCCCTGGATCACAGACAAGGCCAAGATGCCCACAGCCATGGCTTCCTGCCGGCACCAGAGCATTCATCCATATTGAACTGACCCAGCAAGGGGCACTCACAGTTTCTAACCCAGGACCAGCCAGTGCATTAATAAAATGTTTACTGTGTATTTATTGTGAATTTCCTTGATAATTATAGAGCATTTGGAAAATACAGAAAGATCAAAAAGAAAAAAATTATCCATAATCACATTGCCTAAAAAACTACTCTTAAAATGTGGGTTTATTTCATTGAAGTCTTTTTTTCTTTGCATTTGTGTATAGTTAAAAAAAATTGTATCATAATGAAAATGTAATTTTCATCTTTTTATACACGAGAACATTTTTTAAAAATTATTTTTATTTTTGGCTGGGCTGGGTCTTCATTGCTGTGCATGGGCTTTCTCTAGTTGTGGTGTGTGGGCTTCTTATTGTGGTGGCTTCTTTTGTGGGACCTGGGCTCTAGAGTACAGGTGCAGTAAGTGTGACGTGTGGACTTATTTGCCCTGAGGTGTGCGGGATCTTCCCAGACAAGGGATTGAACCAATGTCCCCTGCATTGGCAGGTGGATTCTTAATCACTGGACCACCAGGGAAGTCCAGTACATTTTCTTGTATCATTAGATTATTCAAAAATATTACTTTTAAGTGAATATATGATTCCATTTTATGGATGCACCATAGTTTATTTTAACCATTTTGTTGAATGTTTTAGTAGTTTCTGTGTTTTTACGTGTGTTATGAATAATAGCAGCATGCATTTTTATAGGAGAAAATATAGAGGGGAATAGATACTAACATCTTGATGGGATAGTCAGAACTGTTCATTGTATTGCTGCTGACAGCCCAGATATCTGTGTATGCATGAATATTATATGTGGGTGATATTAAAAGTAGAGACTCTAGACTCTGATAAAACCTACTGGCTGTGTGAGCACCAATCCATTGAGCAATTGACATTTCCATCAAATAAGTTTATGAAAATAATTATAAAGGTAATTGACGTCCATGAGATATCCATAGCTGCTGTACTGAGTCCTGTTAAGTGCTGTTGAATTTTTTTTATTGAAATATAATTTATTTAAAACATTTTGTTAGTTTCAGGTATGCAACATAGTGTAATGAGTCAATATTTTTATAATTATATTCCATTTAAGTTATTACATAACAGTAGCTATAATCCCCCATGCTATACAATATATTCTTGTTGCTTATTTACTTTATACATAGCTGTTTGTATCTTTGAATCCCCTACTCCTGTTTTGCCCCTTTCTCCTTTCCTCTCCCCACTGGTCACCACAAGTTTATTCTCTATCTATGAGTCTTTTTCTGTTTTGTTATATGCATTCATATGATTTTTTTAGATTCCACATATAAGTGATAACAGAGTATTTGTCTTTCTCTATCTGACTTATTTCACTAAGCATAATACTCTCTAGGTTTATCCATGTTGTTGCAAGTGGCAGAATTTCATTCTTTCTCATGGCTGAGGAATAACTCCAGTGTATGTGTGTGTTTGTGTTTGTGTATGTGTGCCTTGCGTCTTCTTTATCCAGTCATCTGTTGGTGGACATTTAGGTTACTTCCATATCTTGGCTGTTGTGAATAATGTGCTGTGTACATTGGAGTACATGTGTCTTTTTGAGTTAGTATTTTTTCTTCTTCAGATACATACCCAGGAGTGGAATTGCTGGGTCGTATGGTAGTTCTGTTTTTAGCTTTTTGAGGAACCTCCATCCTGTTTTCTATAGTGGCTGCACCAATTTACATTCCCACCAACAATGTAGTTCAGTTCAGTTCAGTTCAGTCGCTCAATCGTGTCTGACTCTTTGTGACCCCATGAATTGCGGCACACCAGACCTCCCTGTCTATCACCAACTCCCAGAGTTTACTCAAACTCATGTTCATCAAGTTGGTGATGCCATCCAGACATCTCATGCTCTGTCGCCCCCTTCTCCTCCTGCCCCCAATCCCTCCCAGCATCAGGGTCTTTTCCAATGAGTCAACTCTTTGCATGAGGTGGCCAAAGTATTGGAGTTTCAGCTTCAGCATCAGTCCTTCCAATGAACACCCAGGACTGATCTCCTTTAGGATGGACTGGTTGGATCTCCTTGCAGTCCAAG